GTCTTCCTACATCAATTAACAAGACAATTTCTCACAGGCGATGCCCACAGGCCAGCAAACCCAGATAATTCCTCAATTGAGACTCCCTTCTCAGGTGAATCTAAGCTGTGACAAACTGTAAAAACAATCACCCCAGTGAGTAACCAGAGCTTGATCTGAAAGTTATCTGTGGGAAACAATATGAAACTAGAGCTGAGAGTTGCAAGCACTGGTAAGTGTAAACATACACTTATCTACTCTTTCAAAGATAATTTTTTGAAAAATCATGAAATGAATAAACTGGAGTCTTAGATAAGGAAACAAAAAAAAACCCATAAACAGTTACATGAGGCTGGTCTTTAGACTGAAATTACACAGAGCAGGATCAAGTTACAATGGTAATAGATAATATATTATCAAGCTGGGCATGGTGGTCTATAATCTAAGCACAAAATCAGCTGAGGCTGCAAGATTGCCAAGAGTTGGAGATCATTCTGGGCTGCACAGTGAGTTTGAGGCAAGACAAAAAAGAACAAACACACAAAATACCACATAGTCTAAAGTATTTAATTCATCGCCCATGTTTTATAATTGACAAAACAAGACCAAAAGAGCCTATGGTAATGAAAGGCCTCATATTTGCATATATCATAAGTCACTGAAGATGGAAAATGTTGCATTTGCTAAATATCTATCCACCAGTTATCAACATCTCTTTTTTTTTGTTTGTTTTGTTTTGTTTTGTTTTGTTTTGTTTTTCGAGACAGGGTTTCTCTGTGTAGTTTTGCGCCTTTCCTGGGACTCACTTGGTAGCCCAGGCTGGCCTCGAACTCACAGAGATCCGCCTGGCTCTGCCTCCCGAGTGCTGGGATTAAAGGCGTGCGCCACCACCGCCCGGCCAACATCTCTTGATACAGATAAACTTACTACAATCTCAAAAGATGAAGACATAATCTTACATATAACAGATTACAAGTTCAATAGTTGTTCAAAGCCAAAAACTTTATAATTAATTAGCTAGCCAAACTGAAATGTATCTGTTCCAAATACTGTTTTCTCCCATGCAACAGTGCTCCTTGAATTTAGTTCAAAACTCTAGTAACTTAAATCACTATGTAGTGGACAAAAGTTACTTGTTAAAAATAACTCTCTCACTACAGGTCCCCTTGGGACCATTTATGCATATTCTCTGTGTGTGTGTGTGTGTGTGTGTGTGTGTGTGTGTGTGTGTGTGAGAGAGAGAGAGAGAGAGAGAGAGAGAGAGAGAGAGAGAGAGAAAGAGAGAGAGCACAAATGGTATAATGATCCTATAACAATTCTGTTTTGTGGTGATATTTTATTTGTGCTTTAATAAATAAAGCTTGCCTGAAGATCAGAGGAAAAAGGCCAGCCATTATAAGTAAACAAAGAAGCCAGGCAGTGGTAGTACATGCCCTTAATCCTATCACTTAGCAGGCAGGATCTCTGTGTGTTCAAGGCCACACTAGGGAACAGAGCTAAGAGTAGTGACACATGCCTTTAACCCCAGTACCAACCACAGAGGTCTGGAGGTCTGTACAGACAGACAGAACGTGACAGAGCTGTGTAAGAAGAGGAAATGATGTAGCTGGACTAAGAGAGCCAATGAGAGAACAGAACAGAAAGGCATATAAACATGAGTATATAGTAAGAAGCTCTCTTTGGAAGCTGCGGAGTTGGGGAGGTGAGGTTAGCTCATGGTCTGTCCTAGTCCTCTGATCTTTCTCTCAAGCTTTAACCCAAATTTCTGGCTCCGCGTTTTTTATTTATTAAGACCATTCAGAAATTTGTCTACATTGTTTTTATAATACGAATCACATAAGTCAAAAAAACTCATGGAAAGATGAAGTTTAATTTATTTTCCAAATATACTATGAGGAAAATCTAATAGGAAAAAATAAACTACAAAACCCACAGAATAACTACTTGATATTTAAATTCACTTAGAAGAAAAAGAATCATGAGCAGGGTGTGGTGATGAATACCTTTAATCACAGAGGCAGAGACAGGAGGATTTCTGTGAGTTTGAGGCCAGCCTGGTCTACAAAGCAAGCTTTAAGACAGTCAGAACTAAATAGAGAGATCCTGTTTCAAAAAATAAACAAACAAACAAATAAATAAATAAATAAATAAATAAATTCATAAGCTAATCAAAGTTCAGGCTATAGTTATTTGAAAATATAATAAACAAGACTAACAAATAGTGTTGGCAGTAGTATTAAGAGGAAATTACAGACTTGGGGAGTATTCCAATAGGTAAAATATTTGCCCTGCAAGCATGCGGACTTGAGTTTAACCTCTAGGGCCCACATTTTTAAAAAGCTGGGCATGGTGGCATGTGTCACTAGGGAGGTGGACACAGGTGGGTCCTTGCTGTCCAGCCAGTGTAGCCTACTTCCAAGTTGCAGGGCCAGTGAAAGGCACTGTCTTAAACAAACACAAATAAATGTGGACAGCATCTGAGAACACAACTCAAAATCGTTCTCTGGCCTCAACACATGTGCTCCTGCACACATACAAAGAAAATCAGGCACACAAACAAAAGAATAAAAAATTATATCTACAAAATTATTTTAAGAAGAAAAAAAAGATGTACTCTGATTCAAATAATGACAACTATAGAAATGACATTTCTTCCTAGCACTTAAGTGTTCAGTACTCTATCAAATTCTTCATACATATTGTTAAAATTTAATACTAAATTTAAAGGCCATTTTTGAAGAGTTTTTTTGTTTGCTTGTTTTTGTTTTTCTGGAGAATTTCACTATGTAGCTAAGCTGGCCTCCAATTGGCAAAGTAACACAGGCTAGTCTAAACTTGAGATATTCCTGCCTCAGCCTTTCTGAGGGCAAGATTACAGGCCTGGGGCTCCTTTGGTCTTTTTGAGACAGAATCTTGCTATATAACCCAAAGTGCAAGAACATAAGCATGCTGAAGTGACCAAGGAACACTGTTCTCTGAAGTAGATGGCAGAAATAAAAAGATTAAGTAAAATAAAATAAATTCAAAGAGATATAAAAAAAGAATTAAGTGATCTTCTGAAGGTCTCAAAATTAGTAAATGGATGAGCTAGTACTGGGGGCAAGCCAAACAACCTCAAAATCTTAAGCATTACTTAAACTTTGAACAAATGAAGACCAATCCCCAGTTCCACAGCCAAGTCTGAACAAGTAATCATATTTGCAGTGAGTTTGCAGTAGCCTACCTGCTTTCCAAAGAGGAATGATCTACTTGAGGTGGTTAATGAAAGATAGACCAGAACAACTTCTTTGAAGTAAAATAAATTATACTTTTTCTATTACAATTAATCAAGAATCTAAAAACTGAAATGTCTATTTCCTAAAATATAAATCTAAAACCAATAACTTCTAAATTATGAAATGGTAATGTAACTAAATTTTGTCTGAAGGAAAAAAACTAGCACCCACATATGCTGATGCTTCACAAATCTGGCATAGACCAATTTTGCAATCAGTATTGTTTATAATAACATGCAATGAGAAAGTTGTGATTCTTTAAAGCAAGGATTAAGATGTTATATGTATAGGATAGGAAGAATATTTAAGAACTTTATTAATTAGTTAATAAAAACAGCTAGATGTATCTATGCTTTCAGCCTTTTATAAGTGACCAAACTATAGATTGAAACAAAAGCTTTTTTGTCATCATTTTGTAATTACAAATTTGTACTTACAAAAAACAGTTAAACAGTCATTTTCTACCATATATGCCTTTATATAATTCAATTTAAAACCTCTAATAGTCTTTTTTTTAAGGTTTTCATTTCTGTGTAATGTCCATATGCCTGCGTATAGGTATGAACACATGAATGCTGGGCCTTCAGAGGCCAGAAGAGGACATACGATCTCCTGAAACTAGAGTAATAGTTGCCAGACATGGCTAAGAACTAAGACATGGTCCTCTGCAGCAGCAGAAAATTCTCTTGACTTCTGAGCCATCTCTCTAGCTTCATAAAATAATCACATTTATAAGAATTTCAATAATTTAGAGGCAAATTTTAAGGTAGAAATTTTATAGTTTCTCTTACTAGTATAAAAAAATCAGAGGAAAAAAACCCAGATACTCACTTTATGAAAAAGATTAACACCCAATACAGGGAGCATATATTTACACATGGAGGCCAGAGGATGACATCAGATGTCATCTGCTATCAGGCTCCACTTTATTTATTTGCAACAGGTTCTCTCACTGAACTTGGAACTTATTGTTTAAGCTTGACTATCTAGCCAGAGAGCCCCTGAGATCTGTCTTTATACACCCGACCTGTACCACACCCAGCTTTTATATAGGTACTAAGAATCTGAACTCAAGTGTTTAGGATTGTGCAAGAAGCATTTCCTACAATGAGCTATCTCCACAGCTCCTAAAAAGTAATTTTTATTTTACTCATATGTGCATATACATGTGAATGTGGGTGTGTGCCCTCAGAGGCCAGAAGTGGCACTACATTACCTGGAGCTGCAGTTACAGACAAGTTGTAAACCATTTGACATTGGGTACTGGGAACCAAATTCTCATCCTCTGGAAAAGCAGTAAGCACTATGAACCACTAAGCTATCTCTCTAGCTCCCTAAAAATTAATTTTAAGAAATAAGTATCAAGCTAGGGATGAGAGACTGTGGATAGCATTCACACTGCACCAAAACATAATAAAAACCTCAAAGGAAAAAAATACTAGAGTTGTAACAGAGCCACTTCAGTGCTAGGCAATCAGGGATGATAATCTATTCACTGTTTGTGAAAGTAAATGTTAAATGAAGATTAAACGTTAGGTTTAATATATAAAAATAGTAAATTGGTCTATAAGCAACAAATTATTACATACAAATCAATCATTCCAAGTAACTAAAAACTAGTGATACTCTTTCCTAGCCCTGTTGGTACATTAGCTCATCTTCATGCTGACTGATCAAGATGGATGCAAATTAACAATGTGAAGTCCCTTTAACAGGATCAAAAAATATTTAGGTACTTGTACTGACCGGCTCAGAATCATAGCAATAATCATCCCAGCTCTGTCTGAGGGGTTTCTTTGTTATCTGAAAGCAAGGCAGATTAGTTAGGTAGAAGTTATCAGGTAGGAATTATACTTATATAATGATCTCTGAGATGCAGTATTCAGAAAGCAAGACTTCTATCCAAAGAACAGTTATTTTGCACAGCAACATACACTAATAAAAACTAAATAAATATTCAGATTCTGGGAGATCCTATATTACTCTATTCAACTTATACATGTCAATGTCCAGTGGTTCTGATATTTGTATTAACCACTAAGTTCCTTATCCTGTAAGTACTGACATTATGTATGCATGCCACAGCCGCTCATTACACAAAGACTCAGGAATATAACATTCTGAGTCAGTAAAATTTAACATCTCATTTATAAGTGATTATCACCTATTTAAAGAAAATAATCACTCTGGAGCTGAATTAGTAATTTTTAAAAATATACTTAATTTTGTACAGTAAAAATGTCTAGCATTCAAACAGAAAGTGATGTAACTTCTAAGTTCTAGATTTATTAACACAAAGTTAAGGTAGTTTATAGTATATTAATATGAAGTTTTAAAGTTAAAAAAATTAGCAGGTAGAGTATACTGTACATTTGAGGAAAAGTCCATGGTATTACTTTCATCATCTTTACTATATAATTTTGATGCACTCAAGTATAAATTAAATGAAAAAAAAAAACTCCCTATGGATATTTTTCATTGCCATAAAGGCCTTTTTCTCATAAATATTATATTTTGCCTCAAACCAAAAAAATGAGAGATTGCTTTATTCTTTAAATGATCTATTACAGTAACAACTCCACTACTTGGATTTGGATTTTTTTTTTTTTTTTTTTTTCTTCGAGACAGGGTTTCCCTGTAGTTTTGTTGCCATTCCTGGCTCTTGCTACGTAGCCCAGGCTGGCCTCAAACTCACAGAGATCCACCTGCCTCTGCCTCCCAAGTGCTGGGATTAAAGGCATGTACCACCACCGCCTGGTGGGTTTGGGATTTTAATGAGAAGGAAAAAAATAGAGAAATGAATATCGTGAAAATTTGTGAAGATCATTTCTCATTATGGAAGCTTAAGGCTGAATTCTGAATTTTAAAGAAAGATATATTCTCTAAATCATTTGCCTTTGAAGAATTTCATCTTGACACTTTGTTCTATTTTGTTTTGTTTTTAACACAGAAACTCACAAGGTAATTCACTATATAGACCAACTGGCCTCAAAATCATGGTAATCCTCCTGCTTCAGCTTCCCAAATTCTGGGATTACCAGAATGAGCCACCATGCCTGGCTTCCTACAAAATGTTTAAGAGGGCTGTTCCCTAAATTATACAGTGATACTCTATGTTAGTATCATAGCATGCAGACATGTGTGCATTAGACTGCAAAACATGCAAATCAAGTTTGAAGCAATTTCTTTGCAATAGGTAAGCATTAATTACCAGTAACACTTAACATCCTGGGTATATAAAAGTAAGTCACAATGAAAGAATGTAACATTTTTCTGATCAGAAAAGTACTATGAAACAGCTTAATATTCTTAAAAGAATCTCACAAAATGCATAGAAAACATATTTAATGTTTTACCACTTGTATAAAGGAGATAATCATTTTTACATTTGGAAGTTACAACACTTAAATTTTAGACTAATTACATAAAGGCACTGGTTAATATCTATTATCTGACTTGAGGGAAAAAAAGCACTAAAAAACTTTTTCAGTAACTAAAATCTAATTATTACCTACATTTCAAAATGCTTTTCGTGAACTTTTACCTGATTGAGATAATGATACTCCTCAGGCTGTTTAAGGTGAAATGCTAACCTCTCTTCTTCACTTGCTCCTGCGAGGAGGTAATAGAATACATGATAGTTCCTGTTGGGAACAAAACATATAATAAACATGACTAATTCTGGTTAGTTTGTTTGTTTGTTTTGTTTTGTTTTGTTTTTAAAGAATACATTACTTAGTAAACTGTTTGATTTACTTTAATTTTAAGGCAATGTGACAAATTCAATATTTAGTATGCCTATAAAATAGAATGTAGAATACCAAAAAAAAGGGAGGAGACAGAAGCAGGAAAATGAGAAAGTAGGGACTTTCAAAATGGTCTTCTCTAACACTAATAAAGAAAGTAAAAAAAAAAAAACTTCACAAATTTGCTGAAATTACTCTTTCAGGGCTCCAAAAGTTAATCAAGAGCTTGCAGCTAATTAAATCCAGTAAGGTATTTACCAACTGCACCTAACACTTTATCTACATTAACACAAGAGTATATACATCTTCTCAAGATGACATGAAGCTTTACTAGACAATAAAACAGGCCTGAACATAGTCAAATGAAATCTAACCACTGTGTAATAAAATTAAAACCAATGATGGAAATTCCCAAAATTCAAAACTATGTGGCCAGATGTGGAAGCTCATGCTATAATCCCATCACTTAAGAAGCTGAGACAGAGAACTACTCAAGTCAAGCCTGGGCTACACAGTAAGTTACAGGCTAGCCTGTGCTAGACCAAAACCTTGTCTCAAAAAAACAAATAAATTACCAAGAAAAAAAAGAAAAGAAAAATAAGGGGGTAAATGAATAAACTAAACCAAACAAGCAGAAGAAAAGCAATAGCAAACATTAGAGAACAAATAAATAGTGAGTAATATAGAGTACAACGAAATTTTAAAAACTAGTTCTCTGGAAACATGTACAAAATTAACAAACCTGTATTTAAACTGATAAAAACAGACTAAGCCAAAGTCAGGAATGAGGGAGTAGAAACACCATAGCCAAACTTAGAAAAATGAAAAAGACTATGATACAGTATTATTTATTATCAAGTTAAGATAACCCACATAAAATGAACAGATTTCTAGAAAAATACAAGCTACTAAATTCAACTAACAAACAAAATTCAAAAAACTCTATAATCACTGAAGTATTTGAATTAGTAATCAAAACTTCTTCTGAATAAAAACCAAGAACCAGATATGACTATGCTGTTAAGGTGACTCAATCTTTCAGAAGCTTTTGCAAGAAATTACAGTGAGGAATAGCCTTCATCTCATTCTAAGGAAATATAGATTAGACCAAAAAGGTAAATCTTAGAGCAGTGGTTCTCAATCTTCTTAATGCTGTGACCCTTTAATATAGTTGCTCATGTTGTAGTGACCCCAATCATAAAGTTATTTTCATTGCTACTTCATAACTGTAATTTTGTTACTGTTATGAATCACAATGCAAATATCTTGCTTTTCCGATGGTCTTGGGTGACCCCTGTGAAAAGTTCTAATGACCCTTTCACAGGGGTCATGACCCACAGTTTGAGAACCACTGCCTTAGAGCATTGTATCTTATGAATACAGACAGAAAAAAATCCACACCAAAATAACAGCAAACCAAATCCAGCAACACATAAACAGAGAATACATACATGCACTTGTCAAATAAAGCAATCAAAATAACAATCAGTTTGTAAACTCTGTATTGTCACTTCCAATTTATTCTTTAACCCAAGAAATCAAAATTATATCCCCACTACTCCATTATAATGTTCAAAAAACCACACAGATTGCTTATAGCATGAGCCAGAGCTTTGTGCATGTGTTCTACTGAGTATACCAAAAGCCTTCTCTCTATGTATTCAAACATCTCTAATAAAGATCTTCTCTTATTTCTGCTGCCCCCCCTCTTTCTCTCTCTCTCTCTCTCTCTCTCTCTCTCTCTCTCTCTCTCTCTCTCTCTCTCTCACACACACACACACACACACACAAACCCACTAAATTCTTAACCTAATCCTGCCAATAATTCATTTTCATTATGTAGTTAGTCATTAATTACTGAGCTTTTATTACATATAAGGACCATGTTAATCCTGTCCTAAATAGTCTTTCAAGGCCAAATATGGTGTCCTACACCTTTATTTCCAGCACTCAGGAGGCAGAAGCAGACAGATTGCTGTGCATTTAAAACCAACCTGAGTTCCAAGATAGAAAAGGCTACAGAGTAAGACCCTTCATTAAAAAAAAAAAACACCTAAATAAATAAGTAAAACCAACAGGCATGGTGGAGCATGCCTTTAATCCTAGCACTCAGGAGGCAGAGGAAAGTGGAACTCTGTGTGTGAGTCCAAAATCAAGGCTGGTCTACAGAAAAAGTTCTAGGACAACCAGGTCTGTTACACAGAGAAATCCTGTCTCAAAAAAAAAAAAAGAAAAAAATATATAGATACATATATAAATATATTTAAAAATTTTAAATAGAAAACCTTTAATTTCATTTAGGCCTTGAAACACACACAGAAAGATTTTAAGTACATAAGAAGAAAAGGAAGATGTCCAAAGTATATATACATAAGAGTTCAGGGATATTTAACTTAACACTCTGGGTCATAACTTTATTGTTAACACACGGACATGTGAAGCAATTAATTTACCTTGAAAAATTTGGTTTCTTCAACTGAAATATGTAACATGTTTCATTTTTAAGTCCCATTTACCTCAAATATGACAATGGAATTAAGAGCTTTTATGAAAACTCATTTTGTTTGTAGTTGATTTTGGAGAAAGTGTCTAACACTATAGCCCCAAGCTGACATGGCACTTACTACATACCCTAGGCAAGCCTTGAACTCATGGTAATCTTCCAGCCTCAGCCTCCCAAGTACAGAGATTAGAGGTGTGAAACACCACACCTAGCTTATTACTACTTTCAAATGAGAAGAACACTAAGAAATACGAGAAAAGAAAGACCCATAGCTTATAAAGACAGATGGCTCTAGGAAGAATGAGTTTATCATGCAAAAAACCACTTTCCTGTTCTCAATTTATCTAGAACTGAGAAAGAATAACAGTTCTGCATATCCAATAAAAATCTCCCAAATGCCTTTAAAAGGAAAAATAGCATTCTGCCCAAAAAAGAAATAGTAGTTATATATAAAAATTATACATGATATACAGTGAATTAAGGGTGGCAGTGTACAAAGAATCTAGAAGGGAATCTGTGTGGTGCTGTAAATTTGATCTAATTATACAAATAAAAATATTTACCTTTCATTATGCTCTTGATAAACAAGTCTAGATTTCTCCAGTAGATATTTTTCAACATAGGCCCTGGAAGAAAATAAAATTGGTTGACATAAATAATAAAAATTGGTTTAGATAAGTAAATAATATAGTTTAATATATGGTAGATTTTATTTATTTAGACAGTTCAAAAGTATAAAGGAGCATTCTCCAGATGACAGCAGTACATTCATCATCATAATTGTTATAGATATTAGCATTATCCATGTTAAATTCTCAAAAAACTATCTATGCCATAAAATGGCTAGAGAATGAGATAAGAAGGTGAACTCTATCAAAAGTAAATACACTATAAATCCCTATTTCAAAAAATAAACACAAAACCAAAATCATAAACTAGTAATCAGCAACACAATCATTTTATGAATATGAACCCAGGTCTGATTTCACTACAAAGATTGACTTTTGATTCTACTACTTCCTAGACATCTCTTTTTTGTCCATCCTAATCCATGAGTTCTACTGGTACAAAAGTTAGTCGGGCGGTGGAGGCGCACGCCTTTAATCCCAGCACTCAGGAGGCAGAGACAGGCGGATCTTTGTGAGTTCGAGGCCAGCCTGGTTTCCAAAGCAAGATCCATGAAAGGCGAAAAGCTACACAGAGAAACCCTGTCTTGAAAAAAAAAAAAAAAAAAAAAGTTATCAGTTCAGAGAATGAGTTAGTCAAACTATGCCACGACATTTACCTGCTCACCATAATGCTGAGCACATTACATGTGTCTGAAATTCTACTTAAAACCAGAATAGAAAAAGAAGGGACAGGTGAATTAAGTATTGCTGAATCTATCTAGGATGTCCTTGCTCTATTTAATTGTTTTCTCTATTTTTATGTATATCTGACTTTTCAAATAAAATTATCTAAAATTTGCTTCATAATGTCAAGAAGAAAATTAAAAATATAAACTTTATTCAATTTGACCAAACTGACCACTATGACCATGCTATAACCACTTTTTCTTGCTCATTTACTACAGTCAACTAACATAAATATCTATTTCCCCCAAAAGACAATGAAAACCAAGGCAAAGAACATGCTTATATGTTTTTTTATCTTCAATATTTAGAACAAAACCTGATACTCAAAATGCACCCCATATATATGCTTAATAAATAAAAAAATAAGTTAATAATGCTCAATACATATATATGTTTTTTACTGTGTATTTTACCATAGAATAAAATGTTTATACTTTTTAGGTAGTCAACAGGAGAGCCTGCATTTCCTTCAATAAAGGAAACTAGACATCTACTTTCTAACAAAACTATCTTAATCAATGAAGAAATACAGTACTATCTTCAAGGTTGAAAAGCAATGTACATGACTTTACCTATTGCTATTCTCTTTTAAAACACAACCAAAAGCCTAACTCCTACTTTAAAAACTACCAACTGAGCCTTTGAAAACTGGTAAGTCTTAAAAATCAAGAAAAGAGGGCTGGAGAGATGGCTCAGAGGTTAAGAGCACTGACTGTTCTTCCAGAGGTATTGAGTTCAATTACCAGCAACCACATGGTGGCTCACAACCACCTGTAATGAGATCTGGCGCCCTCTTCTGTATACATAATAAATAAATAAATAAATAAATAAATAAATAAATAAATAAATAAATAAATAAATAAATAAATAAATACAAACTACTTGCTTCAGAAAAAAAAAAGACTATTTGCTTCAAAAAAAAAAAAAAAAAAGTTGGGAGGCAGAGGCAGGCGGATCTCTGCGAGTTCGAGGCCAGCCTGGGCTACAGAGTGAGTTCCAGGAAAGGCGCAAAGCTACACAGAGAAACCCTGTCTCGAAAAACCAAAAAAAAAAAAAGAACAAAAATCAAGAAAAGAAATGATCTATGAAACTGCCATTGAACATCTCTCCTGAACTTTTGTGGTTGCTGATGACATTGGTTTTAGGTTCTTCACAGACAGGCCAAGAGGTTGTATACACGTAATTTTGGCTTTTTTTTTTTTTTTAATGCAGAAGTAAATAAGACTGAGCATAAAATAGCATAAAAAAGAAAAGTAGAGACCAACCTACTTAATAATAGGAACACAAAAATCATTACAAAAACCATCAAATAGCCGGGGGGTGGTGGCGCACGCCTTTAATCCCAGCACTCGGGAGGCAGAGCCAAGCGGATCTCTGTGAGTTCGAGGCCAGCCTGGTCTCCAAAGCGATTTCCAGGAAAGGCGCAAAGCTACACACAGAAACCCTGTCTCAGAAAAAAAAAAAAAAAAACAAAAAAAAACCATCAAATAGAGAAATAACAATTTGTATGTATGTGCATATATGCCAGTGTGTTTGTACTGACCAAGTAAAGCTATTTTTCAAGGAATTCCAAAGAGCTCAGTATTAGAGAAAAAAAAAGGGTTGGGGATTTAGCTCAGTGGTAGAGCGCTTGCCTAGCAAGCGCAGGGCCCTGGGTTCGGTCCTCAGCTCCAGGAAAAAAAAAATACATACCAATGTATCTCAGACAGAAGACATGTTTATCTACATAGATCCCATAAACACCTTTGATAAAATTTAATAAGTAATACTAACATAAACTCAAGACAATTAAAATCAATGCTTAATTAGTTAATACAATAAAAGTTCTTGAGCTAGAGTTTTACTTAATGGAGAAAACGGTATTGACTTAAAAGACAAAAGTAATATTAGTGATATTTGTAATGGCTTAGCTTTTAAATATCCCCACAAAGGCCTACAGGCTAAAGACTGGCCGGGCGGTGGTGGCGCATGCCTTTAATCCCAGCACTCGGGAGGCAGAGCCAGGCGGATCTCTGTGAGTTCGAGGCCAGCCTGGTCTCCAAAGCGAGTTCCAGGAAAGGCGCAAAGCTACACAGAGAAATCCTGTCTCGAAAAACAAAAAAAAAAAAAGACTGAATCACCAGTCTACAGTGCTAATAGGAAGCAGACTGGGCCTCAGTGGAAGAAAATTAGGTAATTAAAATGTGCCCCAGTAGAGGATACTGGCTCCTCTCTTCCTGCTCTCTCTCCTTTGCTTGCTTTCTAGCCACCACGTGGTCTATCTCACAATCCCATCAAGGATACTCTGCCTTGCCACAGGACCACAAACAACAGAGTGAATTAATCAAGGGTTTATACTTCTGCAACTGTAAAACAAAATAAAATCTTTCCTCTTTTATCTTTAGTATTTTGTCACAGTGATGGAAAGTTGACTTATTTACATTTCCCACTAAGGCAGAATACCTTACAGAGAAGGGAAGGAAGGAAGGAAGGAAGGAAGGAAGGAAGGAAGGAAGGAAGGAAGGAAGGAAGGAAGGAAGGAAGGAAGGAAGAGAGGAAGAGAGGAAGAGAGGAAGAGGGAGGAAGGGAGGAAAAGGAAGGAAAGACAGACAATGGAAGGAATGATTTTGTTTTAACTCATGGTTCAGGAGACAGTCCATCATGACAAAGTGGCTCAGTTCATTGCAGTGGGAGCTTAGAATCTTTTTTTGCTGTTCTTAGCAGAACCAGAAACAGAGAGCTAGGGCCAAGAGTGGGACTGGGATAGAACCCTCAGGCCAGTCCCAAGTAAGGTACTAATCTTTTATAATATGCCTTGAACAATCAAGGCAACAACAGTAAAGTACAAACCATCCATCAAGGCACTAGATATAAAACTATAAAAACCAATAGCTTCACATACACACAAACAATAAGCAGTAAGAAAAATACAATATAAGAGAAAAACCACACTCATAATAAAATACTTAAAAATAAACTCAATCGAGCCGGGCGGTGGTGGCGCACGCCTTTAATCCCAGCACTCGGGAGGCAGAGCCAGGCGGATCTCTGTGAGTTCGAGGCCAGCCTGGACTACCAAGTGAGTTCCAGGAAAGGCGCAAAGCTACACAGAGAAACCCTGTCTCGAAAAAACCAAAAAAAAAAAAAAAAAAAAAAAAATAATAAACTCAATCAAATACACAAAAAAATTTAGTACTTTTAAAAAGTACAAAGATATCATCTCTAAAATAATTGCAAATTTAAACATTAAATCGATGAAGAAACAGCTATAAAAGAACTTTAAGTACACAGTTAGCCTAAAGAATCCAACGTGAAAAAGCAACACACAATATGATTCCAACTATATATTTTGGAAAGGTGATATGGAGATAGTAAAAGACCATGAGTTACCAAGACCTGGAGGATAGCAGGACTGAATAACCCAAACACAAAAGATTTTAACACAGTAAAATTATGCTGATATATTAAATGTAAATAGCATCTCTACATTTCTCAAAACCAACAGGATATACAACACAATTAGCAAACTTTAGTACAAGTTATGGATTTCACAATTAATAAAAAGGAGCAACAACACTGTCATCAGTTTTAACAGACCTTACTAACACAAGATGTTTGTAACAGGGGAAGCTATGCTGGAAGGGATGGGAATGATACATGAAAGCTCTCTGTAATTCCCATTTCCTTTTGCTGTGAATCTGAAACTGGTCTAAAGAATACTCCATTAATTTTTTAATCTATAAAATATATTGCTGGCACAATCAGATGACTAATCATAGGAACTGTAAGGATTTTTACTGTACCAAAGTTAATACCTTGACTGGGAGAATACTAATGTGGATATGTAGAAAAGTGTGATTATAGTGGGAAATACAATAATTAAAGGGCCATTTTCTGACTTGAAAATAAATTTTTGAAAATTTATAATATAAACGTAAATACATGCAATTGTTAAGTTAGCAAATATAAATTAAGGATGTTAAAAGTCATAATTAGTCTTAAATTTTTCTCAGTTTGAACCCACCAAAAAGTGAGGAAACAATTTTTATGTAGATACCAATGTCATAATACATAGCTTATGAAACGAGTTATAACTAAAATAAAAATATGCTCCATGAGCTGGCAACATAACAATTAAGAGCACTGGCTGCTCTTTCAAAGGATCTGGGTTCCATTCCTAGCTCTCACGTGGCTGCTAATAACCATCTGTAACTCCAATTCCAAGAGATCTGATGCCCTCTCTTCTGTCCCCCAAGGGCACTGCATTCATATGGTATACACATACACAGAAAATAAAATAGATCTTAATATACATACGTGTGTGTATGTACCAAACATGTATGTATGGACACATGTACTTAATATATATACACATATGTTTATATGTACCAAAATCTATTGCTTCTAAGCAGCAGTACTTACCCAAGTACAGTGCCTGTTTCTTGGTAATTTACTTGAATAAACTTGCCAAAACGACTTGAATTGTTATTATGAGCTGTCTTTGCATTTCCAAAGGCCTGTCAAAATAAATTTTGGTTTTATTTAAAAGTAATTTTTAAACATTGCTTGAAAACTAAAGAAAAAACAGAAATCAATTGATTTATATGTTTAGAATCATTCAGATTTGAGGTAGAATAAAAGAAAGTAATGAAAAAGCTGGAAAAAAAGTAAATTTTCACTTTATACTAATTCAGTAAAATAAACCTCAATTTTTACAACCTAATATATAGGACTAAAAAAATAACTCAGTTGTTAAGAGCACATGCTATGCATGTATATGATCTGAATTCAGATCACAACACTCCTGTAAAAAGCCCAGTGTGGCGCAACACAGCACTTTTAACGCCAACACAGCAGGTAGACAGAGAGGAGGAAGGCTGAGGTTTAGTGGCCATTTCAACTAGTTCCAAATGCAGTGAGACCCTGTCTCAAAGGAGGTGAGAGTGGAGAGTGACAGTACAGAACAATGTCCTCGTCGGGTCTCTACTTCTATGTCTACAGGTTCCTGTACCTACACACACATATGCACACAACACACACATCCATACAGACACAAGATTATTAAAATAAAAACATGTTTCTTTAACGAAAACCCTGGCAACTTCACAGTCACAAGAGCCATGGCAACAGCCACATTTGTAAGCACCCAGAAGAACTCAGGAGGCCAGGATAATGGTGATGGCATAAATCACCACAGGACCAAATTCAACAAATATCATTAGGTAATTTTAAGTGGCATGGCCACTTAGAGATGAACCAGGGCTTCAGCCTAGCTGTCAACCTTGGGAAACTGTGGCCACTGGTCAGGGAGCAGACACAGGTAAGTGCCGCCAAAAACAAGACTGGAGCTGCCCCATCACAGATGGGGTGCTGCAGTCTGTCATCGTGAAGACCAAATGCTTATGCAGAAGAGCTGAGGACAAAATTAAGGATGTGAGGTAAAGTTTTTTTTTTTTTTTTTTTTTTTTTTTTTTTTTTTGCGGGGGAGAGGGAGGTTAAAAGTGGGCTGGTGGCTTGAAGTCACACAAAGAGGTTCATTAGTACTAACAAGTTCTTTTTTAAAAAAGATTAATCTCATTCATGTCAAGATATCTTCATATCCCAGAGACAGTCAATTTCTTAAGTTTATACTAAAGTATTTTGCAAACCTGAAATAAGAGGCTAAGAATATAGTAATTATATAAAAACTGATCATTCTAGAAGTATATAAATGAAGTTTCAGTAAGGTACTCTACTTTCTATTTAAAACAAAGCTATTGAACAGATGACAAAAGAACTATAAACTCCCTGTATCATCACCCAAAGTATACACCAGGCAATGGAATAATGAATGGCCAGCAATAAAGAATGAATGAAACAAAAACAATGATGAATAGTCAACACTATGCTTAAAAAAAAAACCTAGACATAGAATACAATTATATAATCTATCTACATCCAATGCTAAAAAAAGGATAAAACAGTAAGTAAACCAGAGGTTGTCTGGGAATGGAGGTAGAACTGGGATATGTCCACAGGGGACCATGGGTTGATAGAGATATTCTGGGGTCAGCAAGATGGCTTAGGAAGTAAAAGCCCTTGCCAGAAAACCTGAAATCTGAGTTTGATCACCAGGTCTCACATGGTGGAAGGAGAAAACTGACTCCCAGAAGTTGATCTTTGACTTCCACATATGTGGTTGACACTCACACATCTACACATATACAGAAACAAAAATACTTTAAAATTGTAAGATAGTATGAAGTTTTATTATATGATAGTATAATAAAGTTAGATAGTTAGATGGTATACTGGCTGGTTTTGTGTGTCAACTTCACACAAGCTAGAGTCATCAGAGAGGAAGGAGCCTCAGTTGAGGAAATGCCTCCATGAGATCCAGCTATAAAGGCATTTTCTCAATCAGTGATCAATTGGGGAGGGAACAGACCACAGTGCATGGTGCTGTCCCTGGGCTAGTGGTCCTGGGTTCTATAAGAAAGCTAGATGAGCAAGCCAAGGGAAGCAAGACAATAAGCAGCACCCCTCCATGGCCTCTGCATCAGTTCCTGCCTCCGGGTTCTAACCCTGCTTGAGTTCCTGTTCTGCCTTCCTCCAATCATGAAAAGCAATGTGGAAGGAAGTATAAGCCAAATAAACCCTTTCCTAACGAACCTAAGACAGATGGATAAATATTTTTATATATTTATGTATTGATTAAATTGTACATTTTAAATATATCTTATTAAAAGTTATAATTCAATAAAATTAAAACTTTTTAAAAAAGCAGGAGCTGGTGGTGTATTTCAATACCACCAAAAATAAATAAATAAATTATCCACTGCCTAGAAGAGTAGCCTATTCATAGTATCTTTAAAGACTTTGATTTTGAAATGATTCATTGAACGTTTTTCTTCTTGTAAATATCAATAAGAATCACATCCTTCTAATTACACACACACACAGCTGAAGAGATAACACTTAACTGACACTTCATACTACACTTCTACTCCAAAAGGTTATCAGTGTAGTCAAAACCAGAAGCATGGACCTGAAAACTTGTTAGAAATACAAAATTTTAGAACCTGCACAGTTTTGTCAGAAATTCTGGGGATAAGGTCCAGCAATCTGTGTTTTAATAGTTCAAACACAATGTAACGTCTGAGAAACATTATCTATCTAGTATGCATGTATTTCAATTATTATTTTATTAAAATTATTATTAAATTTTAATGAGTACTAGAAATTATACTACAATGACATAGCAAATATGAATTCCTGAAAATCTCTAGAAATATTGCTTGTGAATGCTTATAATCCCTTATATCATTAAATAAGTGATGGGGAGAGGTTGGATGCTCAAACACAATCAAGAAAACTCTGATAGACACATACATACATCCACTGTGTCACACACAGTGGTGAGATTTGAATGTCTCAAATAATTTGTCAATTCTGTCCTTCCTTTGTCCACTATAGAAGACATTTTTCCTAAGGATTTATAAAAATGTCACAAAATGAAAAAATGTAAAAAGGTCTGTATCATTTAAATGTCATATGCTACTTTGGTTTAAAAAAAAAGAGGAAAACAAGCAGGATTAGAGGAAAACAAATGTTGTTTCATAATATACTATTATTATTTTCACATGTGCAACTTTTTTGTTTGTTTTAAAAACAATCTCACTGTATCTCAGGCTGGTCTAAGATTTACTATGTATGCAGTCCAGGTTTACCTTTAACTCTAGATTCTCCTACCTCAACCTCCAAAGTGCTACGATTACAGATTTGCAACAACATGCCTGGGCATACAACATGTTTAATCCTATCCAAAACTATAATGGAAGAAGCCAAGCAGAGCTTTCCCTGTTATGTTAATTTTTTTATTAGAATACAAGTCTGTCAATCAGGTGAAATCCTTTGGGACCATGTTGAGAGAGTCTTGTAGACACTTCATCACAGGGTTATACAGATGGCAAATACATGTGAGGAAGCATGCTCAACAACACTACTATAGGATTTCATTTTTAAGACCTCAATGTACCTAATACAGTGCCATTATGCACCTATCAGAATGGCTAGAAGAAAAATGGCAATGACAAATGCTGCTGAGGATATGAAGCAACTAAAACATTAATATGTGCTAGTGAGAAATGACAGAACCACTCTACTTACACTATGATACAACAATCCCACTTCTTGAACACTGAGGTCAATAAAAATATCAGAATAAGAAACTCTGAAAATCTTCCTTCATTTAAAAAAAAAAAAAAACAAGAAAGCAGACAAGAACTGTCCAAAGAAGACCTTTTAAGAATTTTATTAAGTAGTCAAGATTTTCAATAATCCTTATAGATGGGCACTTAGAACACTGGCTAAATTTTAGGGTTTGTTATTTGTTTTTAAATAAGCATTGTAGCATTTAATCTATTACTATTCATTCTTCCCTACCTCCACACTAAGAGTACCAATTTCTCTAGTGGTGTCTACAATACTTTACATTTAAAAAAATGATTTTTTATATATTCTAGACACCACTAGAACAAGAGATGAGGTACTTCCAAAGCACTGTTCAGAATTCAGCCTGTCCAGCATTTCCCTGGAAAAAGCTAAACTGACTCACTGATCACTCACTGAGAACAGCCTCTCCATACCCATTATCACCATGTTTGCTACTCCAAAACAATCAGAGGCAATTTTTTAAGCACTAAAAATACTTAAGGTGCTAATAATGGGGAGGGAAGGAGGACTTCATAATTACAAGTATAAAATAGGCTAGAAAAGATATGAAAGTCAGGACTGGAGAGGCAGTTAAAAGCACTGGCTGCTCTTTAAAGGACTAGGGTATAATTCAGAGAACTCTAATGGGGAACTCCAGCTCCAGAAGATCAAATACCCTCTTCTCCTCTCTGGCCTCTCCCAGCACTGCATACATGTACACACAAACATGCATGCAGACAAAACACTCATACACATAAAATAATATAAAAATCAAAAAATAGTTATTAAAGATTGTGTCCACGTAGAAGCCAGTGTGCATGCAAGAGGGTTACAAATGTCAGAACATATGTATGCTCAGGAAAGAGCTCAGACTTGTGCTTGAATGTGAGGCTGCATGATAGCAAAAAATAAAAGGGAAAAGTCAAGTTGATATTTACCAGGCTGAGGGTGAAAATAATGTTTCAACAAGCATATAAAACCTCAAAGAAAAATCTAAGAGCATTAATATGTGTAGGCACATATTAATTTAATTATATCACAGAAAACAATGGATAATTATATGATCCCATGCAAAAAAAAGAACACAGTATTTAGAATATTAGTTCAGAAGTCATGAAACAACAAAATAGTAGTAACAAAACTACTAATCACAACTCCTGAGGAAATCTTATTTCCAGAAGTATCACATTACATTAAGTTCTACTTTTCACCTTCTTCCTTTGTAAAGCCCAACACAAACAGAATTTTGCCCTGCTTCTTTTACCTTTGTAAAGAGATAGACTACTATTCTCAAAGAAATGGTTTTTAGTTGATTTTTCTTTTGATGATACTAATGATAGAATCCATGGCGTGCACATACCAAGCAAGTCCTCTATCACCGAGTTACAACCCTATAAGAACCATTTCCAAAAATAAATTATTAGGAGCACACCTGTCTTGTTTTTTTACCGTCTTAGAGGTTCCCTTGGTCACTAAAAGTGATGTCTATTCTTATAGTTTTATTTCATCCTCTCACATCTATCAAGTTTTTCTTGAAGATTTAAGAAAATTATTTCTAGCTGGGTGTGGTGGCACAGGCCTTTAATCCCAGTACTAAGGAGGCAGAAGTAGGTGGATCTCTGTAAATTGAAGGCTAGCCTGATCTACATGGTGAGTTCTCAGATAGCCAGGGCTATGTAGAGACTCTGTCTTTTTAAAAAAAAAAAAAAAAAAAAAAAGAGGGAAAGGGGAGGGGGGGGAGGGAGGAAGGGAGGGGGAGGGGGAGAGAGAAGGAGGGGGGGGGGGAGAGAGAGAGAGAGAGAGAGAGAGAGAGAGAGAGAGAGAGAGAGAGAGAGAAATTGTTTCTATATATATACCTTACCTCAAGTACTGGTCCAGCTCCAAGAATAATTTGTTCTACTCCGCTAGCAAATCCTTTTTGACTGAGTGCAGTAAGGTGATGAATAAGAAAGTTTGTGCTTTGTGTCTTCCCAGAACCACTCTCTCCTGAAATCACAATACACTGATTCTTTTTGCGCTGAAGCATAGCATGATAAGCTACATCTGCCACAGCATATATGTGGGGTTCAAGTTTTCCCAACTGGTGGTTATCATACATTTTGACATATTTGGGGTTATAAATAGGAAGAAATTTGAATGGGTTAATAGCTATTAGAATACTGCCAACATAAGTATAAATTTTTTCATGCTTAAAGCGATTCCGTAGGTTTTCTAAGAGAGTTTTCTCATTCAAATCAGGTAAGCTACATAAATCATCAAAGTCTTTCTGTTGAGGCTGTGGAAGAAAACCCCGTTCCATCATCCTGCGGCGTTCTTCGGTTACCCGTAGCCATGATTGGAGGCTACCATAATGAATTGATCCATCAAGGTTTTTTTCTCTCAGAAGAAAGCGGTAGTCCTCTCCACTCAAGCGATTTTCCAAAGCCATTCGGGGCCACAACATCATTCGTTGAACTGGACAGTCCGTTGGATTGAGTATCCATTCTTCCCCACCAAATTCCTTTACCTCTGCTAAAACGTAACATTTTGTTTTGTCTAGATGAAGTCTATTTATAAGAGAGTCAATCACCTCAGCAGCTGTGGAGTTTTTTCTGGCAGGAATTGGACAGTAAATTGTCCCTTCTGAAATTGTCCCAGGATATATCCGTAATGTATGTTCATTATCCTCAAAGCGTCGTCTTCCTCCATCACTTACATTCATATTGGATCTTGTCCCATCAGAACGGACAGTATGCATTCAGGACTGGGCAAATCATTTTCTTGGCAAAAGAACTGGAACATAAAAGACAAAAACACTGAGCAGTCACATTGAATATTGTTTTCTGTGCCCAAAAATGAAAGCCTTAACAAGCATATTGACTGCAGCTTTCTGAACACAAAATCCCAATTCTCTGTATAAGAGCAAGTATTAAGGAAAGCATGGTGGCACGTCCTTGCAATACCAACATTTGAGAGGTAGAGACAGTAAAATAAAAGAGTTCAAGGCCATCATTAGCTATCTAGTAAGTTTGTGGTCAGCCTGAGTTATGTAAGATCTTATTTTCAACTGGGGGGGGGGGACATTTTGCAAATAGTCTCACTGAAACCATATAAGATTAAGTTTTACTATCAAATTCAATATACTTTCTAAAAACAATAATATATGTACTGCTGTTTTGTTATTCAATAACCCAAAAAGAAAAAGCAAATTATTTTTCTGCTATATCTTTGAAGAATCTCACTAAAGACTGAATTAAGGGGACAGAATAATCACACGAAGCTAATTTTATACACAAAATCTCTTAATGATAACACAGAAATAAGAAAGAATGCCATCAAAGGAAGAAATGTTTTGTGAAACTCACTAAAGCAGAAATTAAAAGTCTTAAGCAAGGAAACAATAAGAAACCTACTATTTAAACATTTTCAAGGAATTCTGGCTCTCTGCTCCCTTACTCGTGGTCAAGAAACAGAAGTGATTTAATAGGGGCAACTCAAAGATCATGCCCTGAACTTGCTAAATTGACAAGATTATACAAGCAGGTACCATGACAATATACTAACCCCCTACATGTTGTCCTTCAATGCTACTATTCTACTATTTTTTTTAAGATTTATTTATTATTATGTATACAGTGTTCTGCCTGCATGTGTCCTGGCAGGCCAGAAAAGGGCACCAGATCTCATTACAGATGGTTGTGTTTTTAAATATTTTATGTGTATTAATGTTTTGCCATGGGTGTTGGATCCCCTGGAACTGGAGCTACAAACAGTTGTGAGCTGCCATGTGGGTGCTTGGACTCGAACCTGGGTTCTCTGAAAGAACAGTCTGTTCTTAACCACTGAACCATCTCTCCAGCTCCAAAATAGATTTTAAAAGAGTGGTTCATTTTATTTTGCATCTCTCTGATTATTAGTAAGTCTGAGTTACTCTAATCCTTTCATTTGCCATTTCAGCTGCTGGTTTATTTATTTCTCTTTTATGAGTTGTCTTGTCCTTATCAATCTGAACGAGTTTTTTACATATTATTATGGATATCAATCATTTTTCAGTTGGATATGCAGAATATATTTCCTAACAACCAGTGGCTCATGTTTTAATTATATTTTTCTGTATGTATTTTGTGTGCATGTGCCAAGGCATGCAGATGAAGAATTTATGACAACTTGCATTTTTACTTAGTTTACATATCAATATTGTAAACAACTGACAACATAGCTGGGCAAAGTAGTACAACCTGTAATCCCAGCACTTGAAGAGCAGGGGTAGGAAAATCACTACAAGTTCAAAGTCAGCCTGATCTAATACTGAGACCCTGTCACAAAAACAAAATTTTTTAAAAGAAAAAAGAAATGACATCTTATTGACATTATCTTCCTTTTGTGAGCACTATGCTGTGGTTTTTTCTTTTTAATTACATTGTATTTTTCACTTCTAAAGTCTGTAATTTCCATATGCACCTGATCTTATGGTGCCCATTTAAATTTCTTAATGCAAACGGTATAGACTGTGCTCAAAGGTTTCAGAGAGGAATAAGGACGGCAGAGAACTGGAGACCATTCATGTTCTTGCTGGGCAAATAATCTGGGTGTATTCTGTATCCTGAAAACTTGACTGAGAATGAATTAAAATGCATTTTGCGTTATGAGATAGCTAGCTACAAGCCTAAGGAGGTTAGGGGCAGAATGACCAATTTGAATAGGAAATCTCCACACAGGGCTCATGTGGTTCACTCATTTGGCTCACAGATGGTGGTAGCACTGTTTGAGAGACTGTGGAATCTTTAAGTGGTGGGCTGCTGGTGGGCAAGACTTGAGGCTTATAGACTGCCTTCTCTTCTGATAAAACTCTGCATCCTGATACTAACATGTTATGCTGCAAACTCTCACCACTATGGACAGTCTTAGCCACCATGCCTCCCTCACCATGAAACTGAAATAAAGTCAGTCTTCCCTTAAGTTGCTTCTGTCAAGTATTTTGTTCCAGAAACCAGAAAACTAATTAATGCACTTTAAGTGAAATAAAAATTCAAGGCAGCATTTGAGGGTAATTAAACTATTTCAAATAGCTTATTAATGTCACTATTATCCTAGGAAAAATATAAAATAATAGGTCTCAAAGAAGTCCTAAAACAAGTTAAAGCAAATGTATTAAACTAATTTTCACTTTGCCAAAAAATAAATTTTGAGACACATAATTTGGTTTTGAAAAATGCTACCATAATTGAAAGGTATTTTTCTTATAGACCGTAAAATGCTATTCCCTAAAACATAATGAGAATATGCTTTTTATGACATGATAGATTTCATTTTAAAGCAACAGAATTTATAAAACTGTACAATGCAAAATATATTCTAAGCTTAAGCAAAGATAAAAATTTATTCTGATAATTTAGATAATTAAAGTAAATAATGGGATTGGTATAGAAAACTGGAACCAAGAAGTGACATCACATCTGTGATAAACTTGACTGTCAGGTTCTTAGAACTTTATGAGCTTGTTTGCAGTATGAAGAAAGAAGAGTTTGAAGCTGGAAGCTAAAACTATTAACTTAATTGATTTACTAGAGCTATTAACTTAATTGATTTACTATAATAATTGACAGATCAATGTTAAAAAATGATTTATATGCATATAAACAGAAGAAAATTTAACTAATTATCCATATGCAATGAAGCAATACTCTTCTAAAACTTTGGGATTAGAAGCACAAGAATCAGGGATCAAAGTCATTCTCATATCACAGTAAGTTCAAGGCTATCCAGGGCCACCTGTATGCATACACACACACACACACACACACACACACACACACACACACACACACACACACACACAGAATGTAGTGACAGTTGCTGTGGTCAATCATGAATGGTTTCAGAATTCAGCTTATAATGATACTCTAACTAAACTCAGAAGAAAAGAATTAGGGTCAGGCTGGAGAGATGGCTCAGAGGTTAAGAGTACTGACTGCTCTTCCAGAGGTCCTGAGTTCAATTCCCAGCAACCACATGGCGGCTCACAACCATCTATGAGATCTGGTGCCCTCTTCTGGCCTGCAGGCATATATGCAGGCAGAACACTGTATACATAATAAATAAATAATCTTAAAAAAAAAAAAATTAGGGGCTGGAGAGGCGGCTCAGCAATTAAGACCACTGGCTGCTCTGGCTGCTCTTCCAGAGGACGAGGGTTCGAGTCCCAGCATCCACATGGCATTGGCATCCACAGCTCATTACAACTGTAACTCTAGTTCCAGGAGTTTTGACTCTTCACACAGATCTACATGCAGGCAAAACATCAATGTACATAAAATAAAAATAAATAAACTAAAAAAAATTTTTTCTTAGTCAGGCGTGATGCACATGCCTTTAATCCAGGAGGCAGAGGTAGGTAGATCTCTGAGTTCAAGGCCAACCTGGTCTACAAAGCAAGTTACAGGACATTCAGGACTGTTACACAGAGAAACCTTGTCTCAAAAAAAAATGAATTATAGGTGAAGTGGGGGCCAAAAGAAAAAAAATATGCAAAATAAGGAATACAATTTCCTTTAAATTATAATTCCATTTAAAAGATTTTAATGCAGCAGTAGGTCTGTGCTCCTAAATTTAATTGTTAAGAAATTTATTATACTGCATTTGCTATCAAGAAAAAGAAAAAAAACATTTTTCTCTTCTCTTTTATATCTTTCTCTTTAAACTTTCTATATCTTTCTTGTTTTATTACAGGGGTCTATTTTTTTTGTTTTGTTTTGTTTCAGTTTTCAAGACTGTTTCTCTGTGTAGTCCTGGCTATCCTGGAACTCACTCTGTAGACCAGGCTGCCTTGAACTCACAGAGATCTGCCTACCTCTGCCTCCGAAGTCCTGGGATTAAAGGTGTGGGCTACCACCATGACCTGACAAAGAATGTATTTAAAAAAATTTTTTTTTCATGTTTGCCTGCATGTATGTATGTACACCACATGTCTGACTAGTGTCTCTGGAGGTTAGATGATCATATCAGATCTCTGGAACTGGATTACAGACAGTTGTGAGCTGCCATGTGTCTGCTAGAAACTGAACTTGGTCCTCTGCAAAAACAGTAAATGCTATTAACTGCTGAGCCATTTCTCCATCCCCTATCATAGAAATTTATTGACAAATGTTAATAAGCAGAATCATACACTGTCATTCAGTATAAAGATAAACAGAAGAAATAAACTAGGCACATGTATACATCTTTAAAAAAATAAAAATCTGGTGGGGTGTGGCCGCACAGGCCTGTAATCCTAGCCTTACCAGTATACAGAGAAAAGGTACACTGCACTATTGAGGCAAGACCCATTTGAGAAAACACAAATGATTTGCCTACAACTGTAAATATTAGAGGAATGAACTATTAAACATTTTGAACTTATTTCAGATGTGCAACTATGGGAAAATGATGTTCAAGACCTAATATTGGAGCTGGGGAAATGGCACAGTAGGTAAAGCTCTTACTATGCAAGTGTAAGGAACCTGACTTCAGATCCCCAGAACCCACATAAAGCCAGACACAGCAACACACATTTGTAATCCCAGCACTCCTATCACTGGTGAGATGAGAGGTGGAGACAGGAGAACCCACAAAAGCTCATGGGTAAACCAGCTAGCACATTGTACTTAACAGTGAACAACAAAAAAAGAACACTGTCTCAGACAAGGTGAAAGGCAAGGACACCACCTAGAGATGTTCTTTAATTTCCATACACACTGAGGATTCTGCTCAAATGTTACTAATCTAAAATAGCCCTGTTGAAAGAATAAAACAAT